AATGATACATTTAACAACTGTCTGAATATAGGCAGTAAAAGAACAAAGGGGAATCCGAAAGAACACCGAAGCTAGTTTGAGAACAAAAGAAGTCAGAAGTGAGAAGTGGAGCTGGAGATGGTGAGGGAATAAAGAAGAGATGAGAAAAGCAGTAGAAAGAGAATATAAAGATGGAAACTGCTGCTGGTGCCGTGGAGTGGGTTCCAACTCAGAGAGACCCTGGATAGGGTTTCCAAGGCTGTAAATCTTTACAGGAGCACTACACTATCAGAGCTCCTTAAAGATGGAAGATAGACAGGAAATTATTGAAAGCTAAATGAAAGATGGAGTCCGGGTGTGGCTCTTGTGGGCTAATGTGCTGGATGGCAAAGTTGGTTTGAACCACAAGGTTGGCGGTTCAGGCTCACCAGCTGCTCCTCAGAAACCCTATACAGGGTAGCCATGAGTCAGAACCAATTCAACGGTACTTAACAACGACAACAACAAATGAAGGATGATGAAGTAGAGACCAAATATAGTCAAGTTTTTAAACAAGTGTTGCTGTGAAGGGCAACAGAGTTAAAGCTGGAGGAGTTGATACAATCAAGGAATGGATTGTGCTAATGTAATTAAGAAAAGCTTCTTAGAAAAGGGGCCAGATTTGTATGGGAGGCGGGAAATATTAATGATAAATAGCATTTATATAATGCTTTACAGTTTGCTAAGTTTTTTTCATATATCTTTTCTCCCTAAATCTCTGTAAAATGAACATAGGTGATAACTTTATTGATTTCATTTATAGGCAAGAGTTTAAATCACTTTAAATATGTAAGTGACTTATGTCAGTTTCTACAGCTACAAATGATCTTGAGCTTTGTTTTGAACATGTTAGATATGAGTTGCCTGTGAGAAGAATGAGGCAGTAAGTGTAGTGACTTATGACATTAGATTTGAAGACAGGAAACCAGAGTTCTCAGCGATCAGATCTACTCTGTGACATTTACCAGTCATGCGAATGTCAGAAGGAATTTAACCTTCAGTTTTCCCCCCACAAAAAAAAAAAAAAAAAAAATTCTCAACATTTACTGAATACTTCCTATGTCCCAAGACTTCTCCCTGTTTATTTTTTAAATGGTCATTATTTTTAGAGGAGTTTTTGTTTACAGAGAAATTGTGAAGGAAGTACAGAAAGTTTCCATGTAATCCCCACTGTTTTCTGAACTGTTTATCCTATTATTAACATCTTGCATTACTGTGGAACATTTATTACAATTGATCAACATGTTAGTATTAGCTAAAGTCCATAGTTTATATTATATTAGAATTCACGCTGGGTTGCATAACCCTATGGAGCTTTTACAAAAGTATATTGTTTTGTGTCCACCATTACAATATCATAGCTTCAGTGTATCCAAAATGCCTTGGTCTTCTCTCATTCATCCCTCCTCACTTTTCCCCTGAGCACCTAGAAACCACTAATCTTTTTACTGTCTCTATCATTTCATCTTTCCCAGAATGTAATATACTGGAGTCATACAGTAGATTGTTTTTCTGATTGAGTCTTTCACTTAGTAATACATAATAAAAGTTCTTCTGTTTCATAGTAGCTCATGTCTTTTTGACTAAGTAGTATTCCATTGAATGGATGTTCCAGCATTTGTTTATCCACTCACCTTCTGAAGGACATCTTAGTTGCTTCCAATTTTTGTCAATTATGAATAAAACTACAGTAAACATTCATATTCAGGTTTTTATGTGGACATGCATTTTCGGCTAATCTGGGTAAATATCTACGAGTATGGTTGCTGGATCTTATGGTAAGTTTAAGTTTAACTTTGTAAAAAAAATGTCAAATTGCTTTCCGTAGTGGCTGTGCCATTTTTCATTTCCACCAGCAATGAATGAGAATTCCTGTTTGTGTGCATTCTCATCAGCAAAGAATGAACGTTCTTGTTGATTCACATCGTTGTCTGCATTTGATGGTGTCAGTATTTTGGATTATAGTTGTTCTATTGGAGGAGAATATTGAAAGTGCCCTGGGCTGCCAAGAGAACTAACAGATCTGTGATGTAAGAAGTGCAGCCAGAGTGCTCCTTGGAGGCCAGGATGGCCAAACTTCGTCTCTCATACTTCGGACATATTGTCAGAGGGATCATTTGCTGGAGAAGGATATCATGCTTGGTAAGATGGAGGGTCAAAGAAAAAGAGGAAAACTCCCAGCGAGATGGATTGGCAAAGTGGCAATATCAAAGGGCTCAAGTGTGGCAACAATAGTGAGGCTGGCCCAGGATCAGGCAGTGTTTCATTCTACTGTGTATAATGTCACTATGAGTTGGCACTGACTCGATGGCACCTAACAACAACAACAATAGGAGTACTGTTGTGGTGCTGTGGGCTAATGCGCTGGTTTGAACTGCAAGGTCAGTGGTTCAAGCTCATCAGTCACTCGAAAACCTTGTATAGGGTCGCTGTGAGTCTAACTCAAAGGCACTTAACAACAACAATAGGAACAGGTTTTGGGGTCCTGTTGTAGCTCTATAGGATAAGCACATGACTGCTAACCACAAAGCTAGCAAATTCACCAGCTGCTCCTTTTAAGCCCTATACAGAGTCACTATGAATCTGAACAGATTCAATGACACTAACAACAGCAACAACAAATAGGTTGTGTAATAGTGTCTCCTTGTTGTTTTAATATGCAGCTCTCTAGTCTCTGGTAGACTAGTGGTTACGAGTTGAGCTGCTAACCTCATGGTCAGCAGTTCGAAACTACCAGTTGCTCCATGAGAGAAAGATGAGGTTTTCTGCTCCTGTAAAGATACATAGCCTTGGAAACCCTATTGAGGGTCACTATGAGTCAGAACCCACTCCATGGCATACAACAACAGTGACGTTATGTTGATCATCTTTTCATATGTTCATTTGCCTTTTTAGTATCTTTGGTGAAATGCCTGTTTATACCTTTTGCCTGTATTCTCATTGGGTTATTGGTTTTCTCGCTCGTGAGTTTGGGAAGTTCTTTTGGAATCCTGGTGTGGCGCTATAGGATAAACACTGGACTGCCAAACAGTAACTGCTCAGAAAGCCTATACAAGGCCACTATGAGTCAGAATTGATTTGACAGCATTTAATAGCAACAACAACATTTGGAGTCCTGGTGTGACACTGTAGGGTAAGCACTGGAGTGCTAACCACAAGGTTGGTGGTTCAAGCCCACCAGTCGCTCATTGGAAACCCTGTACAGGGTCACTATGGTTTGAAATTGACTTGAGGGCATATAACAACAGCAACAACAAAGATTTACAACCTTAGAAACTCTGTATAGAGTCACTATGAGTCAGAATTCCCCTGATGACAGAAGTATTTTGGAGTTGCATATTTTTGATACAAGTCCTTTATCATAGAAAGAAATTTTGTGTTTTCTAAAAAATTTTCTCTTTTCATTCTCTCAACAATGTTTTTAATGAAGTTCAACTTACCAATTTTTTGCATTTTCTATTCAAAAAGTCATCACCAAACCCAAGATCACCTAGATTTTCTCCTATATTCTCTTCCAGAAATTATACAGTTTTGTCTTATATTTAGGCCTCTGATCCATTTGGAGTTAATTTTTGTGATAGTTGAAGCCTTGTGTCGAGATGCAATTGTTATTTATTTACATGTAGATGTCCATTTATTCCAGGAGCATTAGTTGAAAAATCTCTCCTTTCTCATAAAATTGCCTTTGTTCCTTTGTCAAAAATCAGTTGATTACAGTCATATTGGATATTTCTGGAGTTTCTGTGCTGTTCCATTAAGAAAGAATGGTCAGAGGTCAGTCTTGCAAAGAAGCTCTGAGGAAAGCAACTCTTTTGAATGCCATGATTACTGGGAATAAAGGTAGGTGAAAGGACAACCATGTAGATAAACACTGGACTGCTAACAGTTAAACTAAGTTAGGTGAAGAAGAACAGCAAAAAGGCTCTTCACATTCTCAAATTAGCTAATGGTAGGACTTTCGCTGGAGAGATTTCTGGCTATTAAATAGGACTTAAGAGAACTAATGTAAGAGACACTATACAGAACTTGGAAGAAAGTAAATTATTAGGAGTGTTTGTGTATTTAAGGAGCCCAGGAGGCACTGTGGGTTAGGCATTGGGCTGCCAACCACAAGGTTGGCAGTTCAAACCCACCAATCATTTTGTGAGAGAAAGATGAATCTTTCTGCTCCCCTAAAGATATACGGTCTCAGAAATCCTAGACAGGGTCACTATGAGTTGGAATCAACTCGATGGCAGTAGATAGATATATATGGGTCAGAGTTGATTTCCTGGCAGTGTTGTTTTTTTTAATGTTTATTTATCTTTATGTAAAGTAAAAATAAATAAAAAGTTTAACATTTTAGTACAAAGACTCTCTAAGGAGGGTAGTTTGAGGGGGAAAGCAATAGGAAGACCATAAATGTGTTTGGATAAGGATTTAAATTAATTAAACTACATATTTCATAGGATCTCTGTTGGTGTAGTGGTTTATGCATTGAGCTACTAACTGAAAGGTTTTCAGTTTGATCCACTAGCCACTGCATGGAAGAAAGATGAAGCTTTCTGCTCCTGTAAAGTTTCACAGCCTTAGAAACTCAATACAGGGTCACTGTAAGTCGGAACCATCTCGACGGCATATAACTACCACCATCAATACATATTTTATAAAGCTGCCCTTGGCAGCATGAAGAAAACAGAAAGCTCTCCCTGCACTCTATTCCTCTATAAAGGCAGTACTGTAGTTCTAGCTTTATTGGTATTTATTATCCTAATCACCCAATGACTTTATAAGTACTTTGTGGGCATGACAACTGACTTACGTTTATGTACATTGGGGTTATTTTCCAAATTCTTTTTAAGTTCTGGAAATGGGAACAAGTGATAACACTCTCATGTAAGTGCCCAGAATTTGAACTAAAACCTGTCCATCTGCTGACCTTGGATATTCACTGGGAGGAGTCCTGTGGAAGTACACAAGGAAGAAGAGCACTCCCAGTGGCTATGTCAGCCTCCAATATGACTTCAACTCTTCCAACTACCTTTTTGTTAATGGGAATCCCAGGTTTAGAGCATCTGCACATCTATATATCCATCCCATTCTGTTCTGCCTATTTATTGGCTCTGCTGGGCAATGGTACCCTGCTTTTCATCATCCACTCTGATACATCCCTCCACAAACCCATGTACCTCTTCCTGGCCATGCTAGCAACCATTGACTTGGTCCTCTCCTCTACCACACTGCCCAAAATGCTTGCCATATTCTGGTTCAGGGATAGGGAGATCAACTTTTACGGCTGCCTGGTTCAGATGTTCTTTCTCCACTCCTTCTCCATCATGGAGTCAGCCATACTGTTGGCCATGGCCTTTGATCGCTTTGTGGCCATTTGCAAGCCTCTGCACTATACTACGTTGCTGACTGGAGCCCTAATCATCAAGATTGGCATTGCTGCTGTCGTCCGAGCTGTGGCACTAGTGAGCCCTCTCCCCTTTTTGCTCAGACATTTCAGCTACTGCCGAGGCCCAATGATTGCCCACTGCTACTGTGAGCACATGGCTGTGGTAAGGCTGGCCTGTGGAGACACACACTTCGACAACATCTATGGCATCACTGTGGCTTTGGTTATTGTGGTGTTGGATCTGATGTTTGTTATTCTATCATATATCTTGATTTTTCGAGCAGTTCTACAGCTTGCCTCTCAGGAGGCCCGCTATAAGGCATTTGGGACATGCGTCTCTCACATCGGTGCCATTCTAGCCTTCTACACACCCGTGGTCATCTCTTCAGTCATGCACCGTGTGGCCCACCAGGCTGCCCCACATGTCCACATCCTTCTTGGCAATTTCTACTTGCTTTTCCCACCCATGATCAATCCCATCATTTATGGTGTCAAGACGAAGCAGATTCGTGAGCGAGTCATAGGACTATTCCTGAGAAAGGATCACTAAATGGAGGCCATGGGATGAACGGAAAAGTGTGGGACAGTCTGAATACTGAAATTAGGTGCAGGACAATAAGAAGTGAAGACAGCCAGAATGTTTGAGTTTAATTATTTTTCAGTAAATGAAAAAAGTAAATGGTATTCTGAGACTCACAATGCTCTTATCACAGAACTCATAGGTCTGTGTTCTCTGGTAGCCTCTGGATGCAAAGTGGTGATTTTGCTGCGTCATCAAAGAACAGTCCCTTTTGTCAGATTCTAGACCTGTTATATTCCTGGTGATCTCACCTAAAGAGACAAAGATACTTCCAAGTTCATTTATTTAAGTGAATACTGTTACAATCTGAGTTTCTATCCCAAATAATTGAGAATGTAGTGAACTATCCACTCAGGACTTGAGTGAGTATCAACATTACATCTGATGAAGGGATCACTCCTTTTTCTTTCTTTTTTTTTTACCAGCTGTTGTGTGGGAGAAAGATGAGGCTTTCTGCTCCCGTAAAGATTTACAGCCTTGGAAAACCTACACAGAGTTGGTAGCCACTCCACGGCACATAACCATCACCATTGTGAATGCCAAATATATCGATTTTGTGCATTCCATTTCATTTTTGACAATTTCCAATTTTGCTAGATTCATACTTTATACATTCCATGTTCTGATTATTAATGGATGTTTACAGCTGTTTCTTTTC